TATATTAATATTTTATTTAAATGAAAGGTTTCAGAGTAGCAGCCGTGTTAGTCTGTATCCGCAAAAAGAAGAACAGGAGGACTTGTGGCACCTTAGAGACTAACAAATTTATTAGAGCATAAGCTTTCGTGGACTATAGCCCACTTCTTCGGATGCATATGGGCTATAGTCCACGAAAGCTTATGCTCTAATAAATTTGTTAGTCTCTAAGGTGCCACAAGTCCTCCTGTTCTTCTTTTTGCGGATACAGACTAACACGGCTGCTACTCTGAAACCTTTCATTTAGCTTATAGTCCTCTATGACCCCCAGATCCCTTTCCATAGTACTCCTTACTAGGCAGTCATTTCCCATTTTGCATGTGTGTAACTGATTGTTCCTTCCTAAATGGAGTACTTTGCATTTGTCCTTATTAAATTTCATCCTATTTACTTCAGACCATTTCTCCAGTTTGTCCAGATCATTTTGAATTTTAATCCTATCCTCCAAAGCATTTGCAAACCTTCCCAGTTTGGTATTGTCCGCAAACTTTATAAGTGTACTCTATGCACAGCCCGGGAAGCAGGAAGGAGTCTGGGGGTGGAGCGTGGGCAGGGCCACACAAGGCTGTTTGGGGAGGCACAGCCTCCCTGTGCCTTCGATACCTGTCAGCAATGGTGGTGCAGCTCCATGTGGCACCTACTGTGTATAAGGCCTGCTCCAGAGCTTACTGAAGACAATGGAAGTTTTTCTGTTGACTTCAGTGGGCTTTGGATCTGGCCCATAATGTGTATTGACCCCGATTCAGTAAAAATCTTAAGCATTCAATGAATCTACACTTGTTCTTAAAGTTAGGTACATGCCTAATTAGTGAATCTGGACTATAATGCACAAGCTAGCCCTTAAGATGATTTTCTGGCACCATTACATAATTGTAAGTGATCCTACCTCTCCACTTATCAAGGCCCAAATACGTGACAAAGACCAAAATGAGGGACACAGAAATATTATTCATGCTGGACACTTAAAATGCTATGTGATTAGTGTAATCAACTCTTCTTCTAACCTCCTTTTCATTTCTAATGTAAGTGATCTTCAGCAATAAAAGTGAGGGGACCGCAAATTTGTCAATCGAGAGGTATGGAAGTGAGGCTGGAAGGTGAATGGAGGTTTTGCTAAGAAGCGTCAGAAAGTAGGAGCAGATTCTGCATATAGCCTTCAGAAATTGCCATTTTTTTCATAAATAAAAATTTGAACAGTAGCTTTTCCTGGTGAACTTAAGCACAGATCTGAAAAAATATTTAAATCAAACTAAATACTCAGACAGCACAGCAAAAGGCATTGAATGTCTTATCTATCTAAAGAAACTAAAACAGTTTTGTTGTAATAGCAGATGTACAGTATAATAAAGTTCATATATGGGCCAAAGAAAACTTTTCTCATGATTTCATGACCTTTTATGGTAAATTCTTTCTTCTGGGCATCAGCCAACACACTTGAGCCAATCTTGAACTCTTCATTTAAGGTCAGACTCAAGTGTTGCCTAAAATAAATTTGTTCAAAACCTACCTCAATCCTCCCTTACAAGAATAATGACCAGTGACCATTCAACAATGAATCACTTGGTTCTACTTCACTTTTTCACCCGACTGAACATTAAAAACACTGAAAGGCAAAATACAGAAGTCATCATATCAGATATGATACATAGTTCGTAGTTTCACTGTGAAATACTGAGAGGCACTTTTGCCTACAGCACAAAAATTCCCCTCTCAGTCAGTGGGATTATTCTACAAGAGCTAGCTAAGCATTGGTTTTCACAGAACGATTACTTACCTGAGTAAAGGTCCTATGAATCTTTAGACGGCAAGACGGAGACTTTTTTATATAGTATTATGCTGCTTCTTTGTATGGAAGGAGCAGCCACAATAATTAATATTACACAAGAACTTTTATTCTAACATCCTATAGGTTTCAATATTTCAATAACTTTCACCTCTGAGGTTGAAATTTCCTGATTTGGGGCCAGACTTTCTGCTGTGCCCAGTTTCTGTTGAACGCAGCAGAGTGAGGGAGTGTTAGTGAGCTAGTTATGACCCCCTGAATCTCTGGTTCAGCTTTGGCCCTTGCCCAGGTTAGAGAAGCCTGGGGGCTGCTCTAACTAGTGTTAGCTGATAATGACCTTGGAATTTCTCTGATTTATGTGAGGAACCAGATCATCCCCCTGATAGCCCAAGATTGTGAGAGCACAAAGTGGCAGACATCTGTCTTTTAACTATCACCCCTTTCTCAATTGTGCCAAAGCACAGCTCAGCCCCAGGCAACTTTCTATTAATTTCAGTCAAAGTAGAACTGGGCCCTAAGGCCTCTCTCCTGCAATTACATACATGCTTAACTTTATGCATGTGAGTAGTCCCATTGTGAAACACAACAGATGCCTCTTCCCCAGTTACAGCACCATGCTGGGATGTCCTTTTCCTCCAGCTTAGATCCACTGTCACTAAGTTGTACACGCACAAAGCAACAGTAAGCTGATATCTGGCCTGAAGTACCCTGTGCAATAAATCCATTGCTTTCTGTAGAATTCCATGGAGTGCTAATGAAGCCAGAATAGATCAGATAGATAGCCTTGGCCCAGCTCTGCTCTCATTTACACTACTACTACCTCACTGAAATCCAGAAGGCTGCACCTGCATAACTGAGTATGGCTCCTTACTCTTTCATATAAGCATCTGGTTGTTGTTTTTTTCACATGCATACCATAGGATAGTTCTAGCCCCTTTATTTTATACCTAATAATCCATTATAGAGATTGACTCATCGGAATCTATCAGATTTGAAGTAAAAAACATTGAGATGCCCAATAACCTTCCTACATATAGAAGGGGCCAGATGCTGATCTCAATTAAATCTGGAGAAACCTCACTAACTTCAGTAAATTTACTCCGGATTTTCAATAACTTCGAGGTAACTGACATCAGAATTTGGGCCAGAAAGCTTAAACAGAAACTTTTACAGTGGCAGGTATCACAAAGTATGTAGTTTTAAGTGATTTCACTCACACGGCACTAACACTCATTTAGTCACGTCCTCCGCAGTCAATCAATACATGCAGAGTATCAAGCCAGAAGAGTGTTGAAATGTGTGTTAATGGCACCAAGGAAATTTTGGGAAGCTGAGATAGTACAGTAAGCATATTTATTGACTGAGGTTAGGAAAGCTAATTTCCCTGTGCCTCTGTGGTTTTAGCGCCTGAATCGCATGAACGGAGAGATAAAGAAAGTTGGCTGCCTGCTCTGTCAGTGTGACATCAGCTGTGCTGTCAACAAAAAGATTTAGTTAATGTTTCTTCATTTACATTTGGAATAAAGACACCTTAGAAGTGTTACCGCAAATAACAAAACCACAGAGGAAGCCTAAAAATGACTCATGCAATCTATTACCACACACAGCAGTAAGGGCCTATATAAGCATTATAGCTGTGATCATTAGACACAGAAGACCTCAGATTTTCTCTTTTTAGCAGAGATCATCTGATAACACTATGAGATACATCCTACTCTGCGCTGCACTGTTCCTGCCTGAAAGTCTTGCTGTCCCAGTTCAGTTTAAGCCAAAGCCACAGAGCTCCGGAGACCTGAAGCGTATACAGGTATGTCACGAATGGGGCCGTAAGGGTGAACTGTGAATATGCTGCTTTTCCATTTTAAGTCTACGTCCTAATTATTATATTTCTTTCTAGAGAGCATTTCACATCATTTTATTTTTATCTTGGTGTTATGTGGTTGTTACAAGTCAGTTCACAAAAACTAGAAGGCATAAAGTGAAAATTTTGAAAGCGCCTAAGTGAAATTGCAAAAGTGAATTAGGGCCAGGTATTAAAGATATTTAGGTACCTAAAGATATGGACCGGCATCTAGTGGGACTTTCAAAGGAGCTTATAATAATTATATATATATATGAAATAAATTCCAAGAAAATGGAGTCTCTAAAACCAATGGGCCAAATTAAGGATTAATTCGATGTACGTGTGGGTGTGTATTATATATATATATATATAATATTCCAGTAAGATAAAAATAATATATTAATAATGAGGGACTAACTATTTTAGATGCATCTAACCATAGTTGTATCCAGTGCTCACATTTCTTTGAGAAGAGGCAAGACTAATTTTATACACCACACTGGTTGGACTATTCTCTAGATTCTAATGCTCAGTGAACTCCCATTAAAATAAACAGGACCACTTGCTTCAGTGTCTTGCTATTATTGGACAAGGCTTTCTCTGTATATTTTAATCTGTATTGTGGAGAGATGGCAGGCTGTTTCATAGCACTTGAAAGTGGTAGACTGAAGTGTGAAAAAAAGATGTTATAATTATCCATGATTAGAGTATAAAGTAACACCACCACCACCACAAATAAAAAGTTGGGGGAGTTTTAGGAGAGGTGATTTCATATTATTGTGGAGTAAAACCTATGTTAAAAAATATCCTCGAGGAGTCCACAGTTCTCACAAACCCTCTCCTTCTGGTAAGACCCATCATATAAAAAGGTACAGGATGATTTCACAGTAATGTTTATCAAAAATTGTCACAATGAATGATGATTTATTATTATTTTTATTAAATACAAACAATATGATCCTTTGGTCCTACCCTCCACCTCCTCTTACTCTATCTATTTTCAAGCCAAAAATACTGCTTGGTTACAGATAATTTTCTGGGAAATCCATATATCCCAGGTCAAGCCTGTAGAGCCCTATTTTTTTTTTTATTAAAACTCTCCTTCTTTGCACATTACTGATTGATAGTCTAATTGTTCCTTTTTAAGAAGTTCATTGAGAACCTAGTTGCAAATGACATCTTATGATGTTCATTTGAGTAATTGCTTATGCATGAACCTTTCCAGGCCTAAGAACCTAGGCACCCATTTCTCATTTACACCAATGCCTTTTTACACCATTTTGTAGTGTAAAGGGATCTGAAAATGGGTGTACATTTACACTCATTTTAATGTCCCTTTACACTGCCAGTCTGGTATTATGAAAGGTCCTTAGAGTAAATGAGAATCAGACCCTCTGGACATTTACAAATAATACTGTAACCAATACCTGCACAGAACCCTTCATGTATTTCATAAGAGAAAACAGAATAGAGCCCTGAAGCATCTGGATATGAAGTAAGGTTAAGTACACAATTCTCAAAGGAGAAAGGTAGTGAATATTTTAACACCAATCTACATTTTTATTTTGTTCACATATATTGGAAAAGTGCCCTCATATCTGTCTACATTGTTTCCCTGTTATGACAGATCACGGTGGGTTTCTAGGGGTGCAGTAGTGTAAGTATACCCAAGGATCATCTGGGTCTTACACTTGCTGACAAGTTGATTCTTAAAGGTATAAGTAAACACAATTGGAGATACACCCTGAGTCTAATGTTTCTTTTTATTTTCAGAATTACCTTGACAGGTTCTTTCCATCCATTAATAAAGCAGATGACCGTACCTTAGAAGAGAAAATTAAAGAGATGCAGAAATTTTTCCACCTGACTGTAACAGGAAATTTTAATTCAGAAACAGAGGAAATGATGGATCAGCCAAGGTGTGGCATCCCCGATGTATTAGATTACAGAACATTTCCAGGAAATCCAAGATGGAGGAAGAATTTGTTGACTTATAGGTTGGTTATATTTCACTTTTTGTATATTTTGTTTTCTTTTAATGATGCCATATCATTCTATACCTTAAAATGACAATATTTTATTTTCTTGTGTTGCCAAAAGGATCCTTAACTATACACCTGATCTGCCTCGTTTTATGGTGGAGGAAGCAATCGAAAAGGCTTTTAAGGTGTGGAGTGACGTGACTCCACTGAAGTTTCAAAAAGTTGCCAGGAGAGAAGCAGATATCCTGATTCGTTTTGCGCATGGTGGTGAGGCTGCTGCTGAATTTTTAAGAATCCATGAATTACATTTTATTTAAAGCTGAAGCTATGCTTTGAAAGCTTATATGTTTTCATAGCCAAAGATTGAACAGAGAACAAATATTTTCATTCTGAGTTTATCCAATTTTTATCTTGTTCTGCAAGATAAAATATACAGTCAGTATAGCTATCAGGGGGCAGCCGTGTTAGTCTGTATCCACAAAAATAACAAGGAGTCCGGTGGCACCTTAAAAACTAACAGATTTATTTGGGCATAAGCTTTCGTGGGTAAAAAACTCACTTCTTCAGAGTGACGTTTTTTACCCACGAAAGCTTATGCCCAAATAAATCGGTCAGTATAGCTGCCTTTCAAAGGAGGCATTGAGTTTATATATAACATTGATAACAAATATAAAATATTAGATAATATTTGATATCGATGTTAACTAATCAACCATCACAAAAATGCCTTGGGAGTTCAAACAGTAAAATTAGGAAAATAATATCTACTTACTTGATTGTAAACATACTCCTCTGCCATGAACATTACTCCGATTTGTGAGCAAGCAAGGATTCTGCATGCCTGTGTGGGGTTTAAACACTTTGGTCACATGCCTCATTGTAAAACAGAAACATAGATTTTTTGCCTCTTTAGAGCCAAACACAAACAGAGCAGGGCTTCTTTCCACTGCAGTCCAAAGCAAAGCCATAGGGTGTGACTTGTTTTAGCCATGCTCAAAGCATAGGTCTAAAGAGTGTCTCACTTCCAAGAAGTCTGAAAGCGGGAGAACGAATGCACGCGCACACAAACATGCATGCACCCTGGTTCCCCTCTCAGTGCTAGTCCTCCTCTTAGGCCTTGTCTACACTAGGTACTTGCTTTGGTAGAGCTATGTCCCACAGTGGTGTGAGAGGCAGCTATTCTGACCATTGTAGACCAGTGCTAGGTTAACAGGAGAATTCTCCTATTGACCTAGCTACCGCTAGAGCCCTGCGCAGATACAAATTTATATCCGTGGATATAAATCGGTATCCGCGGAACTGCAGGGCTCTCCCGGGAACCACAGCGGTGAAAGGAGCAGTACATGGGGCCGCCGGTCCCAGGAGCCAGCGCCCTGCATCGGCAGCTCCTCCATTGTGGCTGTACTGCCCCCAGCCCTGCCTCTGTCCCTTCCACGCCGCTGTCTGTGTCTCCTGTCTGGGGGTGTGCATGCCACTTGAACACAAGAGTGCAACCAGCTGCTGGTTCCTGGTGCCCAACAGGGGTGGTACAATTGCGCCAGAGGAGCTACTAGCGTGGGGCACTGGATCCTGGGAATGGCAGCCGCACGTTCTGCTCCTTTCGCCACTGCAGTTCCCAGGAGAGCCCTGCAGTTCTGTGGATAACGATTTATATCTGTGGATAGCCGCATCAGCAGATATAAATTTGTATCCGTGCAGGGCTCTAGCTACTGCCGCTTGGGGAGGCAGAGTACCTTCACTGATGGAAGAACCTCTTCCATCCGCGTAGGTAGTGTCTACATTCAAGCGCTCCAGTGGTGCAGCTGCAGCATTCTAAGTGTAGCCAATCCCTTAGAGATTCATCCCCAAACATCCAATAACACAATAATCTTATGTGTCTTCCGGGTGATGAATTTTTCACAACTATCCTGCAAATCCTTGCACTCCAGCAAGAAATTGTAGCCCTTCTTATAGGCAGAGGAGGAGAGTCAACCTTTTCCAGCCAACCTCTGGATGAGGGTCTGGACATCCCACACACTGTTATAGAAGAATCTAACAGAAGATACCAGTGTACCAAGTGAGATCCTCAATTTTTCAAAGCTGTGGTTACTGATAACATTCACCTGATGTATTACAAGTGGTGCAGATGGCATTATCTATAGTTATCATTGCCCGATACTGTCCATTATAGGACCTTCAGATGCTTATAACTTTGCAAAACTTAAGCCATTCAGACATTTTCTTGCTGGGTGTCAGCCTCAGGCTGAACATTTTTGTAAAGTTTCGATAAGATGATTCCGCCATTTCTGAGAACATGCCCTCAATAACACAGAGGTCCTGTGGGGAAAATATAATATGCGATCATGTAATTAAAAACTGTACCATAATGCATACACACACAGGAGCCGAATTCATTGCATAGGCAATCTTAAGTATGGCATTTCCTACCTTCTGAGTGCTTGATTTTGCAACATTACCATTATTTTAGTGTCATTTTTAATGTAATGTAATCTACAATTAATAAAAGCAAACTCTAAACTTCAAGATGTGGAATTCAATGTTTAAAATGCATCATTCTGTCAATTGCTGACACATTCATTTCTTTTCACATGCAGAACATGGCGACTCAGCCCCCTTTGATGGAAGAGGGGGAATACTGGCCCATGCCTTTGCACCTGGCTCAGGGTTAGGAGGAGATGCTCACTTTGATGAGGGTGAGAAGTGGTCAGAAGATCATATAGGTAAAGTATTCTATGTACCCGTTACAATAATTTCAGCTCCTGCTAAACAAAACCCTGGTGTTTGCAACATACTTACATTTACCTCCCATAATAGGCATATAGGGTCTGAGGCACTCAAAGCACTTTACAAAGGTGGGCAAGCAATATTATCCTCTTTTTATAGATGAGGCACAGAAGGTTTAAGTGATTTGCTCATGGTAAAAAGATGAGTCGGGAATAGATTTCAGGTTTCCTGACTCCCATTCCTGGGATCTGCAATATTCTTCCTAAAACATGTGGACATACATATTGTAATTAAATGGGAGAGCAGGTAAAAATAAATTAAACTTATTGAATTTCATCACAATGGAAAGAAAGATGCAAATTCCCCTGGTTGTAATGCTCTGTTCCATTATATGTTAACAATTTTTTTCCACTTTTTTCTATATTTTAGGAACAAATTTGTTTCTTGTTGCTGCACATGAATTTGGTCATTCTCTGGGACTTGGTCATTCAAATGTTGAAGGTGCTCTGATGTACCCTATCTATCGCTACTGGGACCCAGACACCTTCAGCCTTCCAGCTGATGACAGACAAGGAATTCAGAAATTATACGGTAATTTCAGTGTGAGATGTTAATTTTTATATAAAAAATGACCAACAAAGGGACAGATTTTGCCACACTTTACACTGAGAAGTACCTTACTCAGCAAACAGCCCCGTTGATTTGAATGGCCTACTCTCAGAGTAAGGTACTATGCAACATAAGGGTATCAAAATTTAGACCAAGACAACATAATTCACTTTATACCTCCCACCTACCCTTTCTGGAGTTTGAGAGCAACATCTCCATATTGCAACAAAAGCTGATAGAGTTGGAGATCCTGGCAGACTATGTGTTCCCAGCACACCAGTGCCTTGCAGAAATCAATGAGGATGACATTCTGCTAACCATCTACTACTGAGTAGTACCTTGCTCTGCCGAAAAGGCCACTGAAATCAGTAGGACTACTTGCTGAATGAGAGTTTGCTCAATGTCAGTAAGGCAGAATCTGGCCCTCACTTCACTGCTCATGGAGTCAGGTGCTACTCACTGTGAGTTACAGTGACAAAACTGCACCTTAAACCAATGAGAAAATCTTGCCTGAGGCACTTGTGTGGACATCCCCTTCTATGGGACACTTCACAAAGTGTATATTTCTCTATATTTTGTCTCTTACACAAATATCTTCATGTTTCCATATTTCTATTCCACAGGCCGCAAAAGTGAAAACTTCTAAAGAACCATGGTGTGTTTAAAAAGAATGAAGAATTCACACCATAAATGTTTCCTTTTATTTCTTCAGTGAATTAAAATTGCAAATGTTTGAAGAGCAATTTCTACTCCTATACTGAGATTTGAAAACCTCTTTAAATTTATTCAGTAGTTTCTGTGAAAATAAAAATTCTCCCAGCACTCTTCTGTCTCCTGCATTCCTGTCTGTCCTACTCTCTGGTGGGTTGCATTTCACTGATGGGTTCAGTGACTCCTGTACGTACAATACATATACACAGGACAAAATTCTCAGTTGGGTGCTTGAAATGCATCTAACTCCATGGTTTAGGCTCCTTGTTCCTAGCCCACTCTCTTCTCCCTGTCCCTGCCCTGTCCCTTCCCCCTCCCTGCCCTGTTCATACCCAGACTCAGAGTACCCTCCATAGGGCCCAGCAGAAGGATGTAAGATGATGCAGTGTACACAACGAATCCCCACTACAGCACCAGAAGGGTTGTATCCCCACACAGAGGGTCTCTCCCTCTGTCCCCAAATCCCATGGAGATCTAAGAGGCCAGTTCTGTTTAAGTACTTAGGGGATATGACCTCACTCACTGCAGAACTTGAATGCTTCTCAGGTATTTAAATATGGAGATCACAATTATGGTACCCCACCACTCTCCATTTTTATCCACTCCTTAATCAGGCAGGCTCCTGTTGAAGTCAGGACAAGATAAAAAAAGAGTAAGGGCCTCAGGAAATAGCCTATGGCAGCAATCCCAAATGTTTGAAACCTGAGCCACCCTTCAGGAAAAGGAAAGTAATCACACATTGTGACACAGAGGCCCTGTCATGAGACTGGGTCATAGGCAGTCAGGCCTAGTGCTTGGAGCAGGAGTCAGCCCTAGTCAGAGTCCAAATGCCAGAGCCCAAGGTCAAGGCAGAGTCAGAGCCAGGGATCGGAGCCAAAGGTCAGAACTCAAGGCAGAGTCCAAATGCCATCAACAAGGGTTGAGTCAGAACCAGGGCTGAGCATCAGAACCGGATTCCATGGAGTCAGGGAAGGCAGGAGCAAGGCTGGGACAAGACAGGAACAAGGCCGGGTGCCGGGCAGGGTTTACCTTGGAGCAATGCCAAAGCAAGTCAGGAGCATGGCTTGGAGTGAGGCGAGCACAGGGAGGCACAGAATCTGTGGGCATGTACATTGATCCTCTATAGCTGCTGGGCTTAAAAGCAAGCCACCTGACTGCTTTAGCCAATCAGGTGGTTCTGCTGTGCTCATTGGCTGCCTGGTGACCGGGCAGGCACAGCTGCAGGTCCTGACTTCTAACAGACCCATTGGTGCCAGCTGGCAAAGGTTTCACTACTGTATGTCACCAACATACTGTATGTCAGGCCTGACAAGCTCACTACACCTATCACGCTGCTTTCATGTCCCACAAGGGACATGTGATGTGTCTAATAAAAGCTTACGTCATACTGATCCTCCTAATTGTTGTGAGATGTACAGATGAAATTTAAGGCAGTACGTATATGTACTGAAAATATGTCTTTGACAACCCTGCCTGGACCACAGTCTCTAACAGGTATTGCCACACAAAGGGATGTAGATTCACCTATCTACTTAGATTCACATGTAAAAGAAGCTTTGTAAGCCCACACAATGGAAGACTCCACATGCAAAACAGACAACAGGAGTAAGTGAAGATAGCTTGGAGCCAGCACTCCAGGAAAAAGCAACAGAGGGTCCTGTGGCACCTTTGAGACTAACAGAAGTACTGGGAGCATAAGCTTTCGTGGG